TGGGATTAAGTTAAAGTTTATTGGCAGTTGCTGTGAAAAAAGGTCTCAATTTCAAAATGAACCGTAGGAAGATCTGCTGTATAAATCAGCTGTCCTTCCGATGACAGGCAGATTAATCAGCCACAGACAGAAAGAGTTGGCTATAAAAGTTGTGCTATTTAGATGGTTGGCATTTGCATCAGCAGTAATACTGGAAGTTGTTAGCGAATGTAGCCCTCGCATTGTGCCCTGGTCTAAAGAGGATTATTAACTAGTTTTTCAAGGGCTTTATGTGTACTTTGTTGTTGGTTTCATTTTCCATGTAATGCTTGTGAGACTAAATAATGCAAGAAAATTCTTGAGTAGAACTTGCGTCTGAATGAAGATATTAGTGGTATTTGAGAAAGCATTCAGTTCCATAGTTAGTTTATTTCTTGTATCTCTAAACGTAGATATTGTCTGATTCGGATGAGGACACTTATCCAACTTCTGTTCTGCCTTTTCGGTCATTTCACCAAAGCTGCAAGATGATAGTTTCTGCTTCAGTTCTTAATTTAACATTGTACAATGTTGTTTTTTAAAATTAAAAATAATGGGGACTTATAAATAAGAGATTAGATTCAAGGGATACCTGGTTTCGTCAACAGAGCTGAGTGGAGAATGCCGTAAAGGAACCTCCTCTAGAGTGGAGCAGCCAGGGCTAATGAGTATGTAGTTTTCCTATCATAATGCTGTGATTGAAATGTAGTATTTAATGGGGAAGCCCCCTTACAGATGATGAAAATACTATAGTTAGAGTGACAAATCCTTGGAATTATGTTGAAATGGTTGGCTTTTATTCTGCTATCCAAAATTGTAAAATAAGTGCTTTGAAGCCAGACTTATTGACTAAACCATAGTAATTTCTAATTGAAGATACAATATATGTCTCAATTGTTGAAATAAATGATGAGTATGAACAAATTTTAAGTACTTAGCTAGTTTTATTCTTTAAGCATTTGGTTTTAGACGCTAGGCAAACATTTGTAGTACACAGTAGTTAGAATACCTT